AGAGTCTCAAAAAGGGTTGGAGATTAATGTTGATATCTGCCCAAAATGTGCGGTGATAATTGCATTTAATGGCCAAATAACCAAAATGTATAATATACTCAGAAGACCAAAAATTGTGACGTTAATTGACGAGTGTAAGATTAATTACTTAAACATGCAAATCCAGTCATGAATCTAGTCTTACTAAAAAAACTAGACATTGTACAACTTCTGTAATGACTTAACCTTTTAATTCATTTAGTGCTAAAATAGGTATAGTAGTAGAAAATAGGATGAAATTTGCAAAACCCACTTGGCAGGAGTTGTCTGATATGTAATTATCAAAACATGACTGCTGCTTGTTATGATTTTCACAGAACACAAGCAACATGGATCACACAGACACTTTAGAGATGCTTTTTCTGTGCAGGTCAAACCTACTGTTGTTCACCATCACCATTTGATTACAGCACCTTGATATAACACACCTCGTAATTATGATCAAGGAACCTGAGATCCCAGCTACAATAAATCCATCCATTTTCTGACCACTTTATCCAGTTCAGGGTCACAGGAAAGCTAGGGCCTGTCTCAGCAAGGCGCAAGGCAGGATACCCCCTGGAAAGGACGCTAGTCTATTACAGGGCACACACTGAAACTCACACACACAGAATCAGTTTGCCCAGAAGTGTTTTAACCTATGTCTTTAAACTATGGGAAGAAACCAGAGCAGCTGGGGGAAACCCATGTGAACATGGGAAGAAGATACAGTACAAAATGTATGCAGATAGCACCCCAGGTCATGAATTGAGCCCAACACTGCGAAGCAGTAAGCAATGCTAACCATCATGCTGCCCATCCCAACTATAGGGTTGTAAAAATAAACCTACAAGACAAATGGTAACTACACAGATGGTAATCGCCTCAAAATGTCCGAATTGAACATGGAGTGTTGGAACATCACCCGCAGTGGGAAAGGTGTGCTTTTGATGTGCAACATTAAGGTTACAGATCCCTTTCCACGATTCTGTGCTTAAAATCTTTAAATCCCTCCTGTGCATGTAGCCGACATTCCCAGTTCCTTATTTCTTTGTTGAGCCCAAACCAAACTGTTGGGTTGACTGTTATATGCCAATACGTGTTCGACTTCTATAATGGTGAGGGTCTCCATATCAGTACTATAGGAACATTGAATTACTGGACCCAGAATTTTCTCCCTTTCAGAATCTCTCTGGTGACACGCAGAGGTATAGCTTGGCGAAGGTGAAATCTTAACTTGCTCCTTTTCAGCGTTAATACTACATTTTGGAATTGTGTCTCGGATTCTGTCCGAGTTAATAGCAATGAAACTGGAAGCGAAGCGCAAAAGCCATCGGGCATCAGCAGATCTTGGTTCACACAGGACCGCTGTTGTTTCTGTGACGGCAACAGCGCATGAACAAAGCTGGTCTCAAACAGCTGCTCCAATGTCTGGCGTGGGAGTGAGGAGAAAAGAGCAATTTACATTGAAAAGCAAATTCCTGTGCTCTTTCTTCCCCCATATCGGCTTTTCTGTCACTTCATTTGAGGTGGGAAGTGCAGAGCCAAGCCATCATGTAATATCCGCAGACAAGTTTGGTTTGCTATGGCAGCTCAGAGAGCTTTCATGTGATGCACGTCTTCTTTTCTTGTACTTGGTGAGGCACTTTTTTGGTTATTTGCGTATATGCATAAAAATATGGTTTAAAATTAGAAAGTGTTACCCCTTTGGCAACTGATTTAAGCAGGGCTTCTTGGCCACCAGCCACAAAGCCTTCACAGGTTCTCCAGCATAACAGCAAAACCAGAGTATTTGGGTAACATATGACAATGAAAATTGCACATTTTGAGGCTGTGTGTAAAAAGAAGCCACATTGTTTTGTAAATTGACATTTAGTGCAATTTAGTAGCAAAATCTTTGTCTAATCATCCTTTCTCAAATCCAGCCAAGTCCACAGGGGAACATATTTTGCTCCAATAGCCCCTGGGAATGAAAACCTCTTCAGTCTTGCAGATCTGAGAAACAGTCATGCACATCTCTACTTCACCTGTACTCCTTCAGGTTTGAATAAAAAAGTATTTTGTGTAGGGGTCTTTATTTTACTGAAATTTTACTGAAGACGGTTTCCTAAAATAATTGACTTTTTTTTTTTGCCCAGGCTGGCTTGTTTTCATTTGGTGAATGTTTTGTGCATTATTCTCAAAAGAAATTGCAGGAAACATCTTTTAAAAACAAAACAAAACTCATAATTAAGTAAAATTATTCTTTCTGTTGTATTCATTTCGGAAATCAAGTAAACTGTAGCATGGGAATCAGAGACCTTTCTCTGTAGAGAAACAAGCCTACTCAATTTTACTCCTCCCTATTTTTGGATCCACTCTCAACAGACTGTAGGTAGTAGTTAAAATGGGAAAACCCCTTTGCCTCAAAACAAAATTCTCCCATACCAGCTTTCAGTGGTAGTTGTTTAAATAGATATGCTCATCAGTTTCTGTCAGTGTGTTGTGCAGTAACTGACATTACTGCTATTTTTCCAGTTCATTCTCTTGGCTTTAGTAGAGTAGCAAAGAAAGCTACATTATAATCACAGGACCAGTCAGCCTTCTCAAATACCCTAAAATGGCAAATACTTTAACAGTCTAAGTCAAAACAATGGACATGACGGTACCCCGTAAACTGCAACAGAGATACAGTATAGAATTGTAATTGTGACCAGATTTGATAAAATACTGCTAAAATCAGCTGACAAGGATGCTAATTGTTGGTAATGTAATAAGAACTTAAGAAAGGGTCACAAACAATGAGGCTATTGTGCCCATCCAGCACATTTGGTTGCTATTAGCTAATTGATACGATGATCTTATTGATCTGCTTCTTGAGAGAAGCCAGGGTATTGGCCACTATGTGGCTGGGTAGCTTCTTGCACATTCTGACAGAACCAAATGCCTCCTGATCTCCGTTTTAAAGACACTCCCTCATCGTTTTCACCTGGGTCTTCTGGTTTTCATTTCACTGATGATTTTGTTAGCTTCAGCTACGTGGTTGGGGTAGCTTTAAAAAGTCTTGGTGATTTGGTGTTTCAGATTCTGCAGCGTGTGCTGATCTTTTTTTTGGTATCATCTGCTAACTTGACAAGCTTACTAACTATAGCAAAATCTACAGTAGTAGGTCAGTGAAATAAATGAAGACGTGTTGTGGTCCTAATAACAAATCTTCATCATGTCACCCAATTTGAGCATTCAGGTCTAACCTGTACTTTATCAATCCATTAATCAGTTCTCATCCCAAAAATATGTACGACCTTGAATGCCTACTGCAAGGATTAATCTTTATGGGGCAATTTATCAAAAGCTCTGAAAATATAATTAGATTGTGTCATAAGTTCTATTTATATCCAGAATCATTGTTTGCTCAAAGACCTCTAACAAGATGATTAAACAAGGTCTGCCTTTTCTAAATCCATGTTGACTTGAATTTTCTGGTCATACAGATGACACTCTCTTGTATTTATATAATTATGATTATTGCTTTAAAGGTGTATGTGTAATTATGTGTAATAGAAATAAGACTTAGTTGGTTGAGTTAAGTCAAACTTTTCATGGCTGGGCACATTACATTAGTAATTCCCAGTAAATAACTCACCCCTGTCTTGAGTGACTCTTGGAAGATTTTTCTTAATGATTTATAGATATCATCTCTTGTTTCCTTTCCAATTGGTAATATTGGGAGTACAATTTGCAGGAAACTGTCAAGCCCTGGAGAATTATCTTAATAGCTCAGTGTACTTCTCCTGAGTAACACTCCTGCCTCTTCTATGTTAACACTACTTAAAATAGTTCTTTCACTGCTTACCCTAAGACATATTGTCAGTTTCTTCCTTGCTAAACACCTGTGTAAAATATTTTATATGTTATCTGTTTTCCTTACAACAGAATGTTTCCCATTTCCCATGAAATACCAAACAAACTATTGTTTTAGTTTGAGTAGACTTGAACACCTGAAGAAGACTTCACAGCCAAAATGTTGTGTTTCTTGTTTTTGGAATAAACCTTTATCTCTTCCTTTGAAACTTTTATTTTAGCCTTCTTTGCAATATTCTTCTCCATCTCCTGGAATTTCTAACATTATTTTTTTTTTACCTGTCCTTGCAATGTATTGTACACCATTCCTACTTTGCCGAACGTTGTCTTTTAGATTCTGCCTGTTCAAATTAACAGTATGCTTCAGATCATAATGCATTATGATTGCAGTTGCTTATTGATTCCTTATTGTCCCTTTTCCTCACTGTCTTAACTGTTTGAAAAGACTTGAACAAAACAGGAATATGAAGCCTTCTTTTTGGTGCTCAGACACAAAGAGTAAGAAGCAGTCTTTCTGATGGTTCCACTGATGGTATTTCCCAGTCTGTGTGAGGAAATGTAAAATACCTTCAGCTCTTAAACTCTTCAGTTCCCATAAATGCCATCATACTTGCATGAGAGAGATGAAGGAGATGTATGCACGCCTCTCAACGTGCACTTGTCTGGCCATCTCATTCGTTACCTGGGAAAATTAAGCAATTAAGCATCAATTCTGTAAATAATGCATTGGAATGATCAAAGTCCTGTAATGAATTAAGAAAACCCAAGATTATCTGTGACTGTCCTAGTTTAGCCAGTTGTGCTGTGTTGCTTCAATCAGGGTCAGGTAATGGGATAGTATGGACTGCAACCAGTTATACTACTGGCCACAACTTCCTTATGGCTGGACACCTTTATTGCTTAAAACTATTTGGGAAGCTGTATTTAGAATTTTCAAAACAGTTTTTTTTATATAATTCAATAGGTTTTGCATAATTTTTGAATGTTTAATTCAAATTGGAACTACCAGCTAGTTTGCATTGTTCTGTCAAATGTATCTCCCCGTCAAGGAGCATTGGACTGAACTTATGAGTGTTGCTGTATGTCCGTTTCTGTTCATTGTTCTTTCATTCTGTGTTTTGCAGATGTAGAAGCTAGTGAAAAAATCCACGAAAGTGGGACTCTCAAGATGTTCCCGGGTCTGTTGTCTCCACAGTCTTCCAGTACACCAAAAGTAGCTAACGTCATTGCTGAAGTTGCCAAAAATGGTGAGGTTTTCCACGAGAACTTTCTCTGCTGGAACATCTTCAATTTTGCTCCCGCCACTTGTCAGTAAATATTTTTTATTCCATTTATTGTTTCATTTTTTTCTTTGAACATTATGTTGGCTTTCATTGTTTATAATTGTGTTGCATAGTCTATTGCTACTCATCCTACTCCCTTCATTTGTTAATTTATCATTCAGTGGTGAAACCCTGCAATGCCCTCTAGTAACTTAATCCACAGCCAGAGATTAAAATCTGATATTGCTTAATGTTAAGAAGGTGGCCCATGTTGCCTCTGTCTTCTGAACATTAACATGTATGCAAGCAGAGTTACAGGCATTGTGGGAAGTATACGCAGTGGCATACTTCGGTGCTAACTTTGAAACACATGGCCAGAGGTAGCACATGTTGTCACTGGGATGGGCAGTTGTTTGTCTGTACCAGCATGCAGCACCCAAATGTATCCTGTAATTTGGCATCATTCTGACTTATCTTTGACTGTGGGTCTGTTTTCAGCCAATTTATATATCGCTTCTCACCAGATGGTACTAGGCTGTTCGACAGAAGGCAGTAATAATGCATTTGTGACATCCGGCTTGTTTGCTTTTAGTCTTTTGGAAAGAGGGCTTAATCTTTCATGTACACAGTCTCAGTCTTTGTCTTTTGGTAAACGCAGGGATACCTGTTTTTATTTTTTTTATCATGAATAAAGGACCTGCGTTAATAAAGAGTTAGTATCGTACCTTCAAACCAGATCATGTGTAATTATGTTGTTTGGAACATTAAATATTCCAGCTCCGTCTTCTTTGTCTTTGTCAGTTCATGACTCAAAGCTGAACTCAAACTTCATCAAAATGAAACTGTGGCTGTGATTGTCTCCTTCCTCTGCATTTTAGTAGCGGTCTCAACAAAGAGAACCACCCATCTTTTGTGTTAGACTGCAGTGATATAATATTTGATATTTGATATCAAATGATATTTAATGAAAATAGCTATCATTGATAGAAGATCTTTGATGAGAATTGAGAATTACTACCATGCTTTGATTTTTTAATACTGCATATTAAATATTGCGGAATTGCAGTGACTTTAAATTCTCTGCATGTTCTGCATTTTTTATAGAGTCCTAATTGTATATTGTGAATATTGCAGATTAAACCAAACTAAACATATCGGTAGATGACAAAGTGATTAAAGATTTAACTGGGTTTTGAAAGCGAAGATAGTAGATTTTGCTAAATCAGCCTTAAGATGGGGGAGGCCAGGGTTGTAAATCGTGCACTTGAAGTAAATTTGAAATGCCTGCAGTTTTACATTGAGGCAGGGAAATTGATTTACACTGGATTTTTCACATCAGCAGTGAAAGCTTAAATGAATTGGGGGTGCCTGATGAGCTGAAAAATCCTTTATTGACTGGACTATTCCCTGTGCAAAGGTAGCAGCAAGAGCTCTCTGGAACAGACACTAACTAGGCAGCAATACAGTTGTATAAAACTGGCTTAAGGAAAGCTACTGCCTGTCCAGTTATGCATTGTACTATATAGCAAAACAAGTAAAATTTCAGTTTTTAATCTGCAATCTGAAACATTTGTCAAATGTGCTGAATTTAACATGCATTTCTTCCATCTCAGTTGCTTGTGGTTAATATCACACCTTGTTGAACAGTACACTGCAGAGCTGTGTCCTTGGTATTGTTTTCCATACCAAAAAGGGTTTTGTGTTCAAGAAGACATGATTTTTCTAAACAAAAAAAGGTTTGGAAGTAACATGCGATGAATTGATGGAAAAAAATAATTCCAGGATGATAATTGATCATTCTTAATAGCCTGCAAAAGACATCTGCAACTTGATTGCTATCTGCTTGCTGTTGGAACTTGGCAAAGGAGCAGAAATTAGGCATTTATCTCTTTAGTTGTATCTTGGCCTAAAGTTCATGGCTTAGACCAATTTGAATGCATGCATTGCAAGCCATAAGAAACTTTATTGTGAATACAGTCACAGTAATACCAGATATACCATACCAATATTTGATATACATTTGATATGCGAATATCAAAGCACTTTAGAGTAACGCAGTACAGAGAGTATACACTACTTAAAACACATCCACGTGATAGATCACAAAATAAAAATCCTTACAAAAAGTGTTTTTTTTTTGCATTATTTAGACAAGGGTAAAATCCACAAAGTGAGGATGTCCCAGATTATTTTTTTTCCCCAGTTGCTCCTCCCTAAGCACAGGCTGGATTAATCAGGGCTGAGTGAAAATGATTGTCCTTCTTAAGGCACTGCTCGTTTATTGCCGGACATAATCCATTCTTTCCCTTCTCACAGCGCTAGCCAATGGACATTTTCGATTTGGCACAACGCTGCTGGATCTTGTGGAAAATTACAGTTCTTTGTGGACTGCTTCTTCATTACCTGTAACACTGCAAGTTCTCTAAGTGACACATTCACCACGAAAAGGCTTTTAAGTGTAAATAAAGGAACAGAACATGATGATCAAGATATGTTTCCTAAACAGTAAACATGCTGTTTGCTCTAGTCAGCATTATTTTACCATAACAATAAAATGCTCCTCTTTATGCCCCATTTTGAAATCCCATGCTATAAATCTTAAGGGAAGTAGGGTTTGTATAAAATTGTCATACATCAATATGCAGTGGGCAGGAGACTCCAGATTGTTGAGAAGTACTACAGAAAATAGATGGGGGAAAAAAAAAACATCTGACGGTGCTTTTTTTGCAGACAGACTGAAGTATTACATAAGCAGATGATTGTCAGTGGTCCAGAGTGCAAGGCCTCTGGAGTCCGAAAAGCTCATTGCTCCCAACATTTGATCACAAAGAAAAATGATAACATGCTGAAAGAGCTTTTGCTACCAAAGTCACAGCCCTGGTACTGGAATTAAATTTGCAATGAAAACGCACATGAGAAATGGGGTTCTTAGACAAGAAAAAGCAGCAATTCTTTTTGTGGGTGACAAAGAAGTCTAAAAAGGCTCTGTGAGCTTCTCACAGCTCATTTGAGATTATAATGTCATTTGTGTAGCAGGAACATCTGCTTTGCAGAGCAGGCGAATACTGTACTGTTGCCTTTTCTTTTCTAAATAGTCACCTCAAGCTTCACATTCAAAATGGTCCGTATTGTTTTATTGATATGGGAGATCCTTGTCTAAACCGAAAAACGACAACCTTGTATTCTGCAGGCGTTGCCTCGGTCTCTAATTTTTTTTTTCCCGCTGGCAGCCCTCTTTGTGGGCATTTGTCCGCCGGCGCGCCGTGGCATCGTGTGGGCAGCCTGCGAAGGGAAGCCCATTGGCCAAGGAGGTTGACCCTGTGAATTGCGGGTGAGTGGAGGGCTGGCCATGACGAAGTCCTGTGTTGTTTACAGAGTTCATGCGGAGCCCCTGCGTGGAGGCCGGATTGATTCCTCCCCTGGTTCAGCTCCTACACTGTAAAGACCAGGAGGTGCTCCTGCAAACAGGCCGAGCCCTGGGAAACATCTGCTATGACAGCCGTGAGTAACCCCGAGCCCCCCTCCGCCTCCCTATTGCTCTGCTCACACTCCCGGCAGGTTTTCCCACTCTGAATGGACGAGCGCTGCTGCCACGAGCCACCTGTATGTCGAGAATGTCATTTTTTGTATTACTTTGATTGAATCGCTATAAACAAGTCACTGCTGCAGATGAATGGTGTGGAATGGTTTCTGGCAATGGCACTGCCGTTTGTTAAGGGAGCATTAAATTTTGTAGCTTGCACTCCTGAACAGTATTTAATTGTGTGTGCATTGGCCTGCGCATAGATCAGTCCCTCATTAATCATTTTAGAAATGCTTGTGCATAATTGTCCTTATTTAAATACGTTTTTCACATCTTGGATATTTTATTTTTTTTAATCCCATGCAGTCAGTTCCAAATTATTTGCTTTCTGTGTCAAGAATGGTCATCATAATTTAAAAACCATGCCGCAGCATGCCAGTAAAATAGTGTAGAACAAGTTATTAAAAGACATTTATATTGCAAGCACTTGATATTGTTAATAAGCAAAATAAGGCACCAAGTCGTAAGGTTTACCGCTACAAATTAAGCCTATAGAAAAGGAAAGTTTTGTTTTTTTAGTGATTAACTGTAGTTATCTAGTTGAAATAAGAGACTGGGTTAAGGCTAATTTCAAAGAAAATTCTGTGACAAAAATTACACAGCTGAAATGTTTTGTTTCTAGAAGCAGTGCAAGTGAGCTGCCGGTAAAAGGAGAATAGCAATTTGCTTTGGAAGGTCTACATACAGTAGAACCTTAGACCAATGAGCAAGGATCTCACAGAATTAGATAGCACATTCTGAACAATCGGCGTTGAAGAGAAGTCGATGGTGAAGCCTGACTAAGCAGGAGCTCAAAAGACACGGGCCTTCTTGAGACCGGAGTAAAACTACAGTAATTGCGTGGAGACTTTACAAAAGTGTGTGTGTGTGGTCATCTAGAAATGTCGTCATATGTTTTGTACACTAAGAAAAGTTCCACAGGAAGATAACTGTACTGTAAAATGTTTCTTGGAAAAGTAAGTGTGCGGAAGCAATAATTTTGCTAATTATAGAGGATTCACATTTGACATGGAAAACAAACTACATTTTGACGGAGAATAATGGAGAGTGGCATACACTCTGAGCAGCCGTTTTGGAAACCTGGTGACTTTTTGTTTTTCAAATGGTTCAAATGGTCTGAGAAATCAAAAGTTCATTACCAATGCATTTTTTAAAATTAAACCACAGTTTATATGGAAACAAAATGGGAGACCAAGTGTAAAAAACAAACAGCTGGCACACTTAAAGGAAACCAGTGTTCCAGAGCAATAGGAATTACTGCTTGCTTGCTGATTGTTCAGCATGACCTGCATTTCCAATTTCACAACTAGGCCAGCACTGGAATTCCTGAAGAAGTAAAGGGTCAACGCACTGGACTGGTCATATACAGTCTGGGTACAGTCTGACTGGAGGGTCACTGGTGGATCTGAAGGAAATCTAGTCTAGCAAGAGGAATCTGACTTTAAGCTGCTTGGGTCAAACACTGGCGACAATTCGCTTAAAGCTGCAGCAACATTTATTTTTAATTTTTAAAGTCTGATGACAACAGATACCAAGCCTTACATACAGTAGAAACCTTAATTGTTTCAATGTTCCTTCATACGAGACAGGCCAGAAAACAAATCCAGGATGCTTTTGATGTAATGTAATTTGATGTCACTCAGTACAGTGAAAGGTAACCTAGCTGTGTGAAATGTGAGAGTGTGATGACCGAGCTTGACTGTGAATACCTAGAGGGGAGACACCAGCTGAAAGACAGCTCTCAGCTGTCCTGGCCCCACTGCAGTGAGCGTGTCTGAATTCTGGAATGTTCACCCGTCAGCATTCTCGGTAGGTGCATGCAGATGATGATGGTGGCTGTGCAGATTACAGCTCTTATTTTTTTTTGTCTCATTGACTTTTCTTGACTCACTAAGTATGTCTGAATGAGTATCACCTCTTTAAAACCAACTTTACTCATCACTTATGTCTCGAACCCTATAAGTGTAGCAGAGCAAAGAATGCTAAGATTCCCTTGTGGGATCTGACTAAGAAGGTCATGGCTCAGAAGAAAACTGATGTCTCATTATCATGGACTCCTCCAGCTGCCTTTGGAGTTCATACTGTTCAACAGGCTTCTGCAAATCGATAAGGTAAACTCATTCAAGGACTGGAGTCAGGAGAGTTAGCGGGTGAGGTCAAGTGGTCCTGTGAAAAATTAATCATGAGAGACAGTAGTACTGAAGTGTTGTTTTGATTTTACTGGAACTATTAGATATTGGTGAAATATGTTTCAAGATTGTTTTTATTGCTGCAAGGACAAAATAAAAGGCAATATTAACAAAAATGCAAAGTACTGTATGCAATATACCATTTTATTAACAACAAAACTTGCATAGCATACCAACCAGAGTAATATTTGTGAATCGATCAGCTTTGATAAATGACCGAACACTCACTCAGGGATTACAAAGATATTAATATAACCTAAATTAAAATATATTGACTATAACACTTGTTATTGCCAACCCTGATAATTTAAATCGATCTCCTATTATTAAGCAACATTAATATTTACAAAGACAGGCAAATGTTAAGTCACTGTTGCAAATTAAAATGTATCTACCCTGTGTTGGAATAATACAGTAGGTTAGTTCTTGAGATTTCCTTTTTTCACAGTATGTTTATGAAGGGTTATCTCACAAAAATAATGAAAGGAAAAGGACAATGCACTTCACAGTGATGACAAACAGACCATCCCTCCCCTCCACAGTTTAAACTGCAGTCAGTACATCAGAGAGCATTGGGATTTTCCATTAAAGTACAATAAGTGAAGAAGTATTGAGCTTATACTCATCTAATAACTCTCTGGTCAGGTTGTTTTATGGAGAGTTTGAAGGTCCCAACTGGAGACAGAGCTAAGCTGGTTTGTTGCAGCCCTGCCCAATCTTCATCCTCTGTCTCAGTGCCAATGACAGTACCATCAACAAAAGAGGCAGGGAATGATTCCACTTGCAATGTCTCGTGTAGCTTTCCAACATTCTGTGCGAGGTTCGGTCACAAGGGACAAAGGCTGGGAAAAATTTCGGTTCACTAGCCCTCATTGTTACCGAGGTGCTGCCGAAAATAACGTTATTCATGCTTGTCAACAAAAGTTCACCAGTACTTCCATTGTTGATCGGGCCATAATTACAGTCGTCTCGTGGGTCCCAATTTCTCTTTTTGCAGAGGAGGTTGTGAGCAGAACCCTGTTAATGTATGGACTCGCTCTCAGCCCGGTGTCTTGAACTTAAGTTCACTTTCCAAAAACTGGGATAAATGTGGCCAGTGTCACATGGTCGAGTAGCTTGTCAGGTTGGCAGGCTCGGATTAAGAGAGATCACCTGAGAATGAATTGTTCAGACTTTTTTAATTATCGTAAACACGTTTTTTTCTCCCACCAAGAATTTTCAGTTCTTCTCCATCCCAAAGATACCTCACTGGATGATTTGACAGGTGACCTCCAGATGGGTCTGTCTAGAAATAGGAGACTAAGCTGTGCTGATTTTTATATTTGCTGATATACAGTAACTGTAAGAGTCACAGATGCCACCAATTTATTTATGATGATATTATTTAGGATGTCCTGGTTCGTTTAAGAGTCTGGACCTGCAGCTTGTGCAGATGACCCTTCTCTGATTCATTCCTAAAACTTAAATCAGCAGTTTTACTCTGCCAGGGTTATTGTACATTTAAGACCACAGAAATAAATTACTACACATCTTTCCTAACACTTAATTCTGAGTGTAATAATCCTTCCTGTTACAATATATCCATTTATCTGTCTCAAACCTGTCTCTGTTGAAGTTTGGGACAATTTTGTGCCTTATGGATGATCTCTTAGAGCCACTTTCCTATCAAGGCTGCTTGGGAAATAATTCTCTATTGCAATAAGAAAATGATTTTATAAACTATTTTGACTAAAAGAAAAGCATTTTCTCAGTGCTATTATGGGTCAGACCGTTCATCTCTCTCATAATGATGCGAGAAGTAAAGAAAAACATGTTTGTGTATCTTTACAAACCCAATCAAGACACCTACACAAACATCCTCCCACTCTGT